ATAAGACCTCAAGTCAGGCTGAAGTTACTCAATTATAATAAAACATATTTCCTTTTTTTACATGTCAGTACGAGCAGGAGAGCAAACGTTTTTTTTTACAACATACATGTCCATTTTTCGAGATACTTACAGATACAACACAGTCAGCCACAGGCTTCTTGAGAGCTTGCTCTGCAGTCTCCTTCAGCTTAGTCAGCAGCATGGCGGTGACCTGCTCAATGCTGAACACCTTCTCTTCCTCCATGTACATCACCTTTAAAGATATCAGATATGAGCATGTTACATCGCTCTAGATCAGGCACGTGCACACAGACATCAAAGTGGGCTTGAACCCCTGCCCTTTTTCCTTTCTCCAATAAATGAATATATATCTACTGCTGTTTGCGCAGTTTCCCTTTGCAAATATATATTGATTGAATACAAAATAAAATATCAGGTCGGGAGATTAGAAGTTCCGATGCTTTCTCTCCCCTCCTCCCCCCACGTCTCGCGCACTGCGGTGCGGACAGTCATCGGCAGTCCCTTCAGACCGACAGGTAGCAGCACCTCCCACCTTACAGTCCCATGTTATGCCGGCTTTTCTTGGCTTGTTTGGAGGTGAGTGGTGATGAACAAATGACTAAGCTGCCAGTGCCTTGAGCTTACAGCTAATTAGCCAAAAGACAAAACAAATATAGTTAACTAAGGTAGGCTACTAGCTATTGGCTAAGTTAGCTCAAGGTTTAGCTAAGGCAATTTATCATGGGCATACAGGCTACTGTACTTAAGGGAGACACTACAGGTGAATATAGTCAAATGTGTATCTAATAACGTCATCACAATCGCTACATTAATATGCAAATTAAGCGTTAACTAGGCCTAATTAAAATGCACTAATTTGCATGCAGTTACCAAGGCATTGCAGGTGAAAAGGATTTACAAATAAAAAATATATCACCTCACAACTTCCCCAGATAGTTACTTAGGTCAAGTCAGTATCTTCCCCTGAAGTTATGCTTAAATGCAGATTAGTTTTATATCTATAGATTAATTCAGACATGGTCGTAAAACGAACACGATTTATATGTGTTTTTTGGAAGTTTTCTTTCCATTAGAGTGAAAGAAAACATGGAAGCGAAATAGACCAAAATAACTAAATGTACAAGTACATGAAAAAACAATCTTTTTGCCTGTTGGCTGCTCATTTAATAACTATTAATTGTACTAGTTTGTTGTCTGCTCTTGTGCGTAGTGAATACTAAAGAAGACCATTGTCTCTGTGTTAGCTGATTATTTTGTAGAATTCTGTTGAGTATTAAACAATTGCGTGAGTGTGAGGGTATTCAAATAAATTGGTCAGTAAGTCAGAGATGTGGAACTATATTTAACTTAGTTTTAATTTTTTTTTTATTATAAATGATTATGAGAAGCGCCCTTTTTCTCACTTGAGCTCCCGCCCCCCAAAATGTCTGTGCACGTCCCTGCTCTAGATGATGACTACTATGTCAACTCAGAAACAAGCATTCTGTACAGAAAGAGACTGAATGATAATAGGCAGATTAGATAGAACCATCCACCACAAGTAGAGAAAAAAAACTACAACCTCTAGTGAAAGAAATCTTAAGATAAATCACATTTCCAAACGTGCATTTAATTTAGCTTAGTTTTAAAAAAATGTTTTAATTGAATGTTTTCATCTACAAAATTCTCTCAGTCGTTCTTGACAGTATCCCTTTTACATTTTTAAACTATACGACCAGCTAGCAATGACTCAGACATACATTTACAACTTCCAAGGAACGCACTTGTGCTGTGCCCCCAATGCAATAAAATGTTGTTAATCTACAACCATTGTTTGTTGGTCTTAAAACTAAAATAATGGGCGCCAAACAAAAACCAAAAAAAATTATATTTAACTAATTGTGATATTATGGTGAAATAATACATTTTTGTCCCTGATTGAGTGACCGAAAAATGTCTTCTGTGGGCCATATTCATAGATTACCAGGGGTAATCAGCGTTTTTTGCATTACATACGCTCTTATGAGTTACTGTTAAACACAGTTATTGTTATAAACCACAAATGTGAATAAACACGCATCTCCTTGCCGGCATGGTGATCATTATCTTGGTTGGTTGGCCAAGTCATATGCTTAGACTGACTATTGAATTTGACGAGGATAATTGGGGAGTATATCTAGTGTTTCTGAGCTGTTACTAAACATTCATATCCCTTGTCATTTCCTTACCTTGATGCCAGTTGTTCCTGTGGGCATCTGTGCAATATCATAGACCAAACTGTTTTTGAGGTTGTGCACAACGGGATCCGAAAACGCCCTTCCATGAAACCTCTTGAACCCTTGGACTGTGTTCTTGCAGTTTGAGACGACCTATACAAAAATAAAATAAGATAAACAACTCTTCTATTAAACACCTGAGCAAAAAAATTGGTTGGACTGTTTTATCTAGATACAAATGTGTACTCTCGCACATGAAAACTAGAACAAGTAGGAAGAACGGGAAGGCACTTCATAACATTAGAACAAGAAACAAAATCATTTATTAGACCCACAAAATAATTAAAAGGACATTTTCAACATTTTGGCTGGTGTGCCTTTATTACTTCATAACATGAACACTTGCTCTATGTGTTGCTCATTCTGATGCGAGCTGTGCACCTGCCCAGGGTTGTAAGTGCTCATAACGCACTATGAAAAAACAGGTCCCTCTTTAGTCAGGGTAGTAGTGAGGTGTCCAGTGTCCTGCCGGTGTATCATGTAAACTCACCTGGCTCTTTGCAGCAGCACCGATCGCTCGATTCCGGGGTCCAAAAGAAACACATGCTCTAAAGAAAAAAGAAAACAGTTAAATTATATTTTCCTCCACAGTTTTACAGCAATGACGCTCTCTACAGGGTAATGTAACAAAATGGTAGTTTATTGCGATGATGTCGATGTTTCATAAAAATATTTGTTAACGTTTGCAAATATATGATATATACTGCTTTAACGATAATCTGTTGATTATGGGTCTGAAAAATGGGTACAACAGATAGATAAAGCCGTTTGACAGCCACGATCCGGCCTCCTCCAATCATGCGCCCATTCATGCCTGCAGTAAAAAAAGAAATGCATCACCTGACTTAGCAGGTCAATAATGCGCTTTTATTTTATTTCGACGACATTAGTGTAGTAGGAGACTTCAAAAACCATCTAATCATATGAAGTAGTACGGGGTTTTCTTTATGCTCACAATGATTCAGCTAGCATTAGCTTTAGCACTCACATGCCGTTTCCTGTTGTGAAACCCCTTAGCATGCTAACTAGCTAGGTAGTTACGTTAGCTTCATTCAATATTATGATGAACTAAAGTGGAATTCGTTCACACTCTGTACCTGCTATGAGTACATACAATACAACACAAATCACAAACAATAGCGTATCTAATCGTACTCACGGTGTACACCGGTCGCTGTATTCATTAGCGACAGTTTCAATCCCACCGGCTCTGGCTACCGCTACATAGCAGTTCAAGTACCCGACGTCAAACCCGACAACCGACATTTTCTCTGGCTAACTAAACAGTGTAGAGTACAGTAATTACAAGAAAGAACAGTAATATAATTCAGTGCTGGAAAGGTGACAGCAGCAGCTACAGTAGGGTTTCAGTCAGCAGTGATACACCCTTGTTCTTGTTCCATGAAGCTGTGTAGCAGCATGCGGCGCCGGCTGATGCGTGAGAACGTTCAGGAATCTTCTCTGTCCCACCGACCAATAGCATCACACTGCAGAGCACTACACGCTGCTGTCGGGCGCCCCCCACAGGCGAGGAAAGGTATTACTGCAGCAGGAAACTCATGTGTTAAACTGCTATACTCTGTACATTTCATCTAATACTTTATGGTGGTAGGGTTACTTAAAAAATGTAATCCGTTACAATAACTAATTACCTGTAACAACCTTAATCAAAGATTCAACGGTGTTATTGTCATACGCACAGCTACTGTGTAGTTTTGACGATGAAGTCCCAGGCTCCTTTAACAATGCAGCATCAATAGATATGACACAAAACAATACAAATAGTGCAAATAAAACAGTGCAAGAGAATGTTGCAAGTGACCAATGTACCAGCAATGCAGAAGAATTAAACCTTACACATGTCAAATCGAATAAGATGAGGTAAAAGCAGAACGTACAATTAAGTACTGTAAAGGGATAAAATACTCTTTATTGTAATAAATAGATATGTGAAATACAAACAGATGAATGCTTAAAGAAGCAGTCTTTCAACTGTCCCTGAGCCTAGTGGTTTTAGTCCTGATGCAGCAGACAGAACAGTTTGTTGCCGGGGTGATGGGAGTCTTTGATAATCCTTTGGGTCTTCTTCCTGAGGCGCTGTGTGTAGAGGTCCTCCATGGAGGGCAGCTCTGTCCTGGAGGACTTCTACACACAGCAGCTCAGCAACCTGATCTAAGTATCAGAATACAATATCTACACTAGTATTTCTGATTCAGTTACAACTGTTGGTGGCTCCCCAACCAACATGCAGTTGCTTTCTGTACTTTAACATAAAAGCCCCTGCGGTTACTAATATAACTGCACATACTTAATGTCAAGTGTATTTAGTGTGCTTTGATTTGTTCGCAGCAACTCGATATAAAAGTACTAATTAAACAAACAACTTTCATTTAAGTTGGCTAGCTGTCATTTATCATTAACAAAATCATAATCAACTACTCTCTATCGATTACTCTGTTATCTTTAGTCTTTAACTACCGAACAATATTCCATTGACACAAATATAACAGAAAAGCAGCAAATCCTTGCATGCAGATGTAGAAAAAAACCTGTGCATTGTACTTGATAAATAATTATCAAAACTGTAGGCTCCTAATTTTTCTATTGATTGATCTATTGACTTCAGTACTAAATGTGGAAAAAGTAGCATTGATTTAACAAACACCATAAATAAACATTAATACAATCACAAATAGATGACTGAATGAAACCAATCAAGACTCATTTCACATAAATATTTGTCACCTTTATTGGTCAAACGTACAGAGTTAGAATTAATAACATAGGGCAGCTTTCAGAAAGGTTTGAATTAGTTTATTCGTCATTCTCAAAGTCTGCGTGGACCTTCCTCTTGCTGGCCTCATGGGAGCTGTTGCCCCATGTGTATGTCAGGTACAGGGCTATCATTGCTGCAAAAACAAGTTAATAAAACATATTAGCAACAGGACATTCTCTACCTGTTATTCATTTCAGCCACATCTTGCTTTGCAGTAAGCGAGTTAAATCATATAACAATACAGCGATAACACCACTACTCTGGCTTGCAGAGAACTCACAATGTCATAGTTTCTTAAGTAGCCCTTTTGTTTACTTCACTTCTATCCAACCCTAATTCACTAATTTGTAGATATAGTTCTCACATTGTACCTTGTGCATTACATTTTGATTTAGAAACTGCAATGCAAGTGCAATTACTTTGCACACTTATAACGTAAACAGTACCCTATATTTACATTTACTCACTCCGAATTTGGTATATATTTTTTTATTCAATAGAGATACTCTATTGATATAAATATTTCACTGTTGTTATGTATGTATTTACCATTTGGTCTGTTGTCTACCATTGGGTGCTGTGAAAAATCCCAAATTGGGTTCAATAAAGTATATATAATCTAATATCATACTATGTAAAATAAAGCTGTAGCAACCAATGAAATAAGTGAGGTTAATCTAATCAAAACCCTTAGACAGTTTAAGGCTGGCAAACAAAGGGAGTGTCAGCAATTTCAATAGACATAGAAATGTGTTGTCCTGGCTCTCCATTTAAAATCATGACATATGGAATAGAACAATCTGAAACTCACGGGGGGCAACTTTGAAGACAGACGCCCTGAACCGTCTCCACACATTTGGGATTCCCTTGGAGAAGTAGTTGGGGAAAGCCCTCTGCTCGAAGGGCGACAGACTGTATGTGATCACATGCCTGATCCTCGCCAATTCACCAAAGTGGCCTACCATGTTTGCTGGAAGGCTAATCTAAAAAGACAAGACATTCACATTAAAGTTTTTTTTTAAAAAAGCCACCAACATCAAACATGTTTTCAAGATTGCAGGAAATGGAAGCAGTGCAATATAGAAATTGTATCCTGACACTCACACAGCTGTGTTATTCTTAAGAGGCAAACATACTTGTTCAACGTGTAGCAATTCAACCAACCTTTGCTTTTGATGCATCTATTTAATTTATAAAAAAATATACAATCTAATGATAATTCTAGCAATAAATATGAGCTGTTCCTACCCAAAGGCTCTGACTTTGTTTGACATTGATTTGAATAATAACCTTAAGGGGTAAACTAGTCCATCTCCTTGTATGAATATCTGGATATTGTGTTATCATAAATGTATGCAGTAATAACCTAGTACATCACGTAGCAGATTATCTAAATAAACGATTGCAAAAACAGAAAACAACAATCTTACAGGACATCAAAACACCCTGATTAACAAGTGTTAGCATAGTCAACTAGCTACAGTGGCTAACAGTTAGCTGCTAAGGTCCTTGAAACGCTTATGTTACTGCCACGTTAAAGAGCTGGTTTAACCGAGGCTAAAATAAAGGTCCATCCTAGTACATTAAAGCAGATATATCTTACAGGAATCGGACATTCGAGTTAAAGGTAGGAAATCTACTGTTAATAATGTGACATTGAAGCTTACCGTCCTGTTTCTCAACACTGTCCTAATAAAGTTGTTCTGTCCTTCCCTTTTATTCAGGCCTTGCTTAGCTCCCAACACGTCAGCGCCACCTGGCGGACTGGAGTTTAACTACACCCAATCTGTAGGTAGAAATTGACTCTTCCTTCCTGAATGAGGGGGTGTATTTATGGACAAAAAGGAAATATAAACATTCAAATAGTATCAGTAAATATAGGCATTTAAATTGTATTTTACCTTTATTTAACCAGGATAGGTCTCATTGAGATTAAAAATCTCTTTTTCAAGAGAGTCCTGGCCCAAGAATGGTAACAGCACAGTTTCAGACAGTTGTACAGTTACAAACAATTAAAAAACACACAATCACAACACAGTCATACACCAAATTTAGCCAAAGCATTTACAGACACAGCGGCCTGCTTCAAGGTCAGTTAAAGTTGCTTTGAGTGTTTCTAATGAGACCAGCTCTCTGAGTTTCAGCTCAGTTTGAAGCAGGTTCCAAGCTTGAGGGGCAGCGTAACTGAATGCCCTTTTCCCAAGTTCAGTACGGACCTTTGGTACAGTTAAAAGGAAAAAGTTCTCGGAGCGAAGCCGATAGGATCCTGTGCATTTTCTATTTATGTACATCCTTAGATAAGGGGGAAGAGCACCAAGAATAGCCTTATATATAAGGATGTGCCAATGTTTCAGTCTACGCGTGGTCAGGGAAGACCATCCAACACGAGTGTATATTGCAGTGGTGCGTCAAGGATCTGAGGTTTGTGATGAATCTCAGTGCACCGTGGTAGACGGTGTCCAGTGAGTGAAGGCACTGAGAAGATGCATTCATATAAACCACATCTCCATAATCCAGCACAGACAGAAAGGTATCAGAAATAGTATCAGTAAATCCGAGCTCAAATGTTTAATCTAGGGAAAGTCAACTCATCAAACGTGGCAATCAAGGTGGGACAGAGAAGGGAAAAGGAGACGAATTCAAAAGTGCCAATGTTTCTATGAGGAATGTCAATAAGAGAAGTCAGTGGTGGGTAGACGCAGAGAGAGACGACGAAGAATGATCTGAGGAAATCAGCATTGCAGGAATTAACAGTAAAAAGATTAGCGAGCATGGGTAAGAGGGCACAGGTCAATTACTGTCTGCTTTCTTAAGGGGCAGAGGGGGGGGGGGGGGCATCTAGAGCGTGTGTGTGTGTTTTATCTGATCCGGATGGTTACCAATTCCTTTTCTTTATGGCGGTCATTTTTGACCGGGAACACTATGGTGTTACAAAGTTGACTAAATCATCCAAAATGTAATGAAAGTGGTGATCAGCAATTGTATATGTTCAAATGTCTACTGTGAAGGATATCATAAAGCCTTAATGCAATCGAATGTAAAACAAAAAAGTTATGATTGATGAAAGTATAGTAAATCGGTCAGATTTGACCCGAAGACAACAGGAGGGTTAAAGGTTGTGATGGATAATTGGAAAGGGAGTATAGAATAAATGCTGAAAGCATATGAGATAATTGTAATTTAGGGTGTTAGCAAGTTCATATGCACTTGTTTTGAGTTATTTAAAGTATTTAGATCAAAGGTGTATGAGGTAAGAATTAACAGTCACTTCACTATACTCAACATTTATGCATGTCCTTTTTTTTTTATTTTCCAACCTTTCAAACAATGTTTTCATATTTTCACTCTTTTGAATATCCCTAAATCGAGCACAGTGAATTAATTAAATCTGCATAAATAGACATGACAAGCATTTAGTCTTATTCAACCAGCAGAAATTATGCACTCAATCCATACTAGGCTTCCTATGCAGTCACGCAGTGACCAGAAGTAATAAATACACACTGAAACCTTGACAACTTTCATTCTAGACATTATGAAGACAGCGATCATTAATCCCCAGGAATAAAATGGTACATTGTAAAAGGTTTGATAAGAGTTTGTTTTTTCCATCTTTTGTCCAGAACAGGGCTACTTAAAACTTGGCAATTGTGTTAAATTAAAGAATAATGACAGACCACCAACCCAAAATAAGTTAACAGAAATATATATTTTGTTGTAAATTATACAACACAAATGTTTCTTATTAAAGTGTGTCAGAGTTGAAGAATAGGATCCATTAACCTTTCTTCACACCTTAACAAAACAAAAGTGTCACATTTCCATTTTCACTAGGATAAAATACTTTGTTTAGTAAACACACCTGCTCCAGATCAAACTTCATGCACAATGATTTTTATAAATTCATGAAATCACTGAGCTTAGTCAAAGTATCCAATATATAGATAAAGTTCACTGGTGAGGACAGCTGAAGGGGTTTGTGTTGATGTTATAGGAAGCCTGTAAAAAAAAAGAGGAAAATAGAACAGACATGTTGGCAGCTGGCTTAGCGACATGTGCACCTGGTGGCAATCATATCTTCCAACTCCTTGTACACATAGGAGCCATCCTTTTCAAAGATCATGACACTCAACGGGCTGTAGTGGGAGGGGATGCACGAGGGCCGAGGCACAGAAGAGTCAAGGTTCTCATAGATGATGGTTTGCACCATGGCGTGGACAGGAGAGCCGTAGATGAATCCCAAGGCCCTCGGGCAGACGCCGCTGCAGTACCTGGGGTTGTACTTGGGTGGAAATACAATCCAGTGTTCCAGTTTAAGCTGGTTGAATCGCACCCTGAAATCATATAAGGCACAGTGGCTTGTCGGGAATTCAGAGCTGGAGAGAAGCTCAGGCTGGTGGAGTTCCAGACTTTTATCAGCTTGTTTGCTCTTTGGAGATTCCCTCTTCCATCTCCTCTTTCGCCCAATCCTCTGTTCTGTTTTGAAAGCCATCTGCTTGTGAAAAGTGTTCCCTGCGGTTTCTGGCCTTTGACCCGCGATGGAATTGTCCAGAAACCTCTGGTTGTCGATATTGCTGGTGTCATAGAGATAAAGAAGCAGAAGAGGGGAATTCAGGGTGAAATTTAGGGAGGCTTTGCGCCCGTCATATCTGGCTTTCCGTTCCCCTGGGCAGGTGACATTAATGTGCAGGTGTATATTCTTCTTGTGAAATCTTAAGAGAGGCCTGAGAAACGATGTGACATCGACCTCCACCCAGTTCCTCCTGCTCCCCCCGGCTGCGCTGACTGTGAAGTTCCCAGCATGGTGGATCCGGGGACTCCGGGGACACAGAGGACACGGGTTGAGGTGCTCGAGCTTCTCCAGACTCAGGTAGCATACAGAGTTGACGGGTGCTGCGAGGTCATGGTCAAAACTGTACAGCAGGGTTGACTTCAGGAGCTGCTCTTTTCTTCCAACTTGATCAAGGCTGTAGGAATGATCCTGCATAAAACTCTCTATAGGAGAATAGGAGAATATGAGAAAATATTAGATCACTGTCAGCATTACATGTCAGTATCACAAATCCATGCACTTATGATAACATTAGACAGAGTCATATTTCCTTATAAATATGTTTAATGTCTGTTTAATGTCACTGACGCCTTTGAAACAAGATTATTTATTGTACATTGTTACCCTTTGCCCTGCATGTTAGCAGAGGTGGGAGAACTACTCAGATCTTATACTTGGGTATACCAGAGTTTAGGAATACTCTGTTACAAGTACAAGTCCTGCATTCAAAGTGTTGCTCAAGTAAAAGTAAACGTAAAATAACTCATTATGCAGATCAGTCCATTTAATAATAATACATATGTTTTGATTATAACTATTGATGCATTCATGTGTTTATCAAAGGTGCAGCTAGTTTTAATGACTTTGTATTGTGAATTTACTCCAGGTGTAACTAAAGTCTGATTTAAGTGTCGATTATATTTCACATCATTAATCAAAATCTGTCAAATAACTAAAAGGTACAACATAAATGTAGGGAAGTAAAAGTACACTATTTAACTCTGAATTGTAGTGGAGTAGAAGTAGCATAAAATGGAAATACTCAAGTAAAGTACAAATATCTCAAATTGTTCTTCCGTAGGCCTACACTACTTATTAGTAAATGTACTGAGTGCCTCTCTGGTGATTGGGTATTCATATTATGGTATATTTTTAAAAAGAAATGCCAATATAAATCTCAGCATCATCACTGAAGGTAATGCATGTTACATTGTGTGTTAGGAATTGTCAGTTGAGTTGTTTTACTAGCTCACCTTCATAACTTTTTGCTTGACATTCATCTTGTGGCTTAATCAGTCGGAGTGTGTTGTAGATTTTATTCCCGTCCAAACTTCTCTGCAATCTGGAGGATTTACTGTAAACTTCCGTCAGATACTTGATGTACCTGTGATCGGGTTTGATCTTTTTCTTCAGTTCCTGGTTCCACCTCGACCCTCCGTGCTCTGACAGGGCTTTGAGCAGCGGGGAGAATATGCTGCTGTACGGGTAGGTGAAGTCACCCAGTTTGTGCAGCGCATTGGAGGCAGATCCGACCAGAGGGCAGCTGCAGTTGACCAGCAGCAGTAAGAAAACCATGCGAAAATAACGAAGGATAGCTGAAATCAGCATTTGTTTTTCCATTATAAACAACAAACAAAATGTAGAGAGACTCTCTGGCGAGAGCTCGCAGTAATCAGGACCAAGCACGTGTTGCTGGTGATCACCATGCGCAGGTGTTGGCAATCAACTCTGCCTCTCATATGACTTTCTCACGTAAAGATACCTGTTTCACTTTCAGACATGATATGAGCAGCAAGAGGAAAGTTTAAGATGCTAGATGGTTGATTAGCATTAAACAAGCTCGATCCTGCATCCATGATTCTCTCATCAGATATGGGAATGATGATGAAATGTAAAACTCAAGCGACTTCCGGCTAGATATTCTCCATAAGATGATTCACAAAAACGTATAAAGTTTCATTTAAAAGCATATCCCACAAATATATGTTTTTCCTTTATTAGATGCACAACAATATGCAAAATGGAATGTTATTGACTAAAAAAATAGGGACTTTATGGCGATATATTTTACCATTTTATTTTGAAGGATAACCTCCCAACGTCCGGTTCTTATTTTACAGTTTCCCGATTTAAGGAAGTTCACACCGGTGAGTAATTTACAGCGTTAGTAATATCAGAGTTAGGATACTAAACCGTCTCAAGTGGAAACATATATTTGACAAGAAAACAATTCTGACATTTTTGTAATTAGAGGAAAACATTTTGAGATTAGAAACACCGACTGACAGGAGGTCAACAGAAAAGTAAGTTACTGATTTAGGTATAACGTTAGTTAACAAACAAAGTAACGCTAGCAATAATACACTTGTACTACTGACATCAGTGGTGTAAAGTAACTAATTACTCAATTACTGTACTTTACTTGAGTATTTTAATGTTTGCTACTTTTTACTTCTTCTACCCCACTACAATTCAGAGGTAAATATTGTACTTTTACTCCACTACATTTATTTAATATCTTTAGTTACTTTGCAAATTTGGATTAATGATTTAAAATATAAACATTCACAGTATACCCTGCCTGCAAAGTAATTAAAATAGATGGATCTTTACCAGTTTTGATACAACTCTAATGCATCAATAATAATGATCAAAACATATGATATGTATTATTCTGAAATAGTCCAATCTGCATAATGTGTACTTTAACTTTTGGGACTTTAGGTGTAACAGAGTATTCCTACACTCTGGTATTTTTACTTTTACCTTAAGTACAAGATCTGAGTACTTCTTCCAACTCTGACATGATGTATGACTGGTGTAGTTAATGACTTTATTTGCATTGCTCAACCCTCAGTTAGATATGCTAATGCAAATTAAAGTTAGGTACATTCAAATGACTAGTAAAGTAACTAAATGTACTACATAAATGTTGTGGAGTAAAAGTTCAATATTTACCTCATAAAATGGAAATACTTAAGTAAAGTACAGCATTGTACTTGAGTACAGTACTTGGGTGCATTTATTTAGTTATACTTTCCAGCACTAATCCAGAAGACAATTTCACTTTGTTTCAAGATCTTTTATTTAATGTGACCCGGTGGCTCCAAACCCATAACAGATACGTATTAATACCACATTGAACAAATAATAAACCACTTTTAATTAGTGCTTCTTTTATTTTAAATGAATGTTTTGCATAATTACTTCATTGACAATTTAAGGATAATATTTGCAAACCATGCCCTCTACTGGTCTGAGATATGTAAAGCAAGTACAGGGGCACCTTGCCCATCATCTGTTAAAATCATCTAAGATAAACAAATATAAACAATATAACATACCACCAAAGATAAGAATATGGACTTGTGCTCATGTTGTGTGATGGAAATAGTTTATATGTCTTTTATGTTGTGGCAACTGATTCGATTCAGACAGATAATATTTGTCTTAATACATTTGTTGCCTTGCTTTGCCTTCAGTGGTTGTCAGGAAAGTCGATGATTAAATTACCCTTGATGTGATGTTGATGGATTTGAGGGGATGCACCACTTTGTTGTTTATGTTTTTCCTGTAAAACCTTGAATATGACATTACCAAGCTTTAGCCCCACTGCTTGCAAGGCTCTAAATAAAGGATTATTTGTCATGTAAGGCCTCTACGGCCAAATGGCTAGGCTTTGTGTCTCAGTTACACACCATATTAATACTAAAAGTAACACTAACCTGCACACTACTCAGTGTCCATTTTGTACTGACAGGAAATGATGCCAGGCTTGGAGCATGCCACAGTATTGTTATGCAGTCTTTGATCTTTGCACATTCAGTCTGAACTATAACAAAAGAGACACAGGAGGTTGTGTGTTGTTTCTTTTCATGATACTTCATTGCAAATAATAGTTTTGAGGTGAGATTTAGCACATAGTCTACAATGTTAAATATTTGCTGTGAGTGCAGCTGCCTTTTGCGTGGATTATTATTGAAGCTGCTTCTTTTCCAGATAACGAGACAAAGGACATTGTTCTGGCACAGTTTTGCGTATGGCTTCATTGTCTGAGCTCCAACTCTTTTCATGTCATCTGGGATAGTTTCCTCTGGGTTACTTAAGGACACATGGCACACAGACGGCAGATTACTGTTTTCAAGCCTTTCTTATCTGGGAAAAGACAATTCCTTAATGACAAGATCAAAATTACAATGTTTTTATAAAGCGTGTTGGTTTTTCGCTTATGTTTATATCTTTCTGTGGCTTCTGTTTTACACTTGAGAGAATCTTGTTAAACTTGTATTTGGCGGAAATCCTTTCTAATCAAAACTAAAATGATTGATGTGGTATTTGAGTCATGGCCGAGAATGTCTTTTTTACTTTAGACATCACCCTAAAGAGTGAAGCCATGTTGTCCCACAAAGGGAGGCCTTTCTCACCCATTACAGCTCAGGTTCACAAAGAGGTTGATAAAGGAGACATTCCACCACCCAGTCTGCTGGCCTGCTTTTCATAACAGCCCCCCCCAAAAGGTCCCCTCTGCTTTTACTGAAGGGGAGAGGTAGCTTTCTCAAAAATGTGTTCTATTTTCTCCACAAGATTATCCGATGTTTTCTCTCTTTTGAAAATGAAAATACTTTATTTTGATCATAGTTATATCATAAATAAATCTGCTGTGCACAAAAGCAACAACACAATGTTTCACACCAGTGTTGATAGCAACTGTTTCCCATATCATATTTCATTCATCCTCAAACTTTGAAGTCACAAATCAATTGGTAACTTCTACAGATGTGTTCCACAAAAAGTAATGAAAATATGTGTAAATATCTTGGATTGCTTGTGTTGTTAGTAAGAAAAATAAATTAAACGGGATCCAAATAACACTCATTCTTAAAACAAGGAATTAAGCTAAGGAAAACAAGTTGATTAAATAATACTAACTGCTTATAAATAGTACATCCAGCAGTGATACACTGTACAAAAGCGCTACAATAGTACAGAGAGACTCATAACACGTTAAGTGATGCAGAGGATAAACAATGGGTGTGTTGTTTCATATTAACATACTATACAAACTCAGACAGTATTAGCTATTACAATTGTCCTATTGTCCTGGTCCTCCATGTCACTCTCACCATTCCAGAGCAAACTAGTTTTTCTGTTTCCTCCCTATATGCGGCTGGAACAGTTTACTTATGGTGTTGAAGCCTTTCTGGTGCTCTCTGTATTCTTCGTCGTCTATCTTCTCCCTGCACTTGCTGTGCTGCAGTCCTCCCATAAGTGCTCTGACTTCAGATGACACATTTTTGCCCAGGTAGTGGAAGGCCTTCTTGCCATCATTATCTCTCTCATTTACACTGGCTCCATAAACTTGCACGAGCTGAAACATCACTTCAGTGTGGCCGTGCATGGCTGCTATGTGCAAAGGTGTGTACCCTCCGTGTGCTTTGCTGTTGATGTTTACACAGGTTCCTCTTCTCCTGGAGATGTCCAGCAGCTTGTGTATCATCTGACTGTTGCCGTCCTTGGCGGCCCAATGCAGTGCCGTGAATCCTGACATGAAGTCTTTCTTCTGTGCCAGCCGAGTGTCCTGTAGCAGCAGACCGTGGATGTGACCCCACAGTCCAGCTGCACACTTTACCAACCACTCATGAGCTAATGGCTCCAAAGGCACTGACTCTGAGTACTTTGCATCATCTCTCTTGCTTTGAGACCTCCCCAGGGAAAATCTTGGGGGTTGCATGTCCTCCATCTGTTTGTTTTTCCAACACTGGGACTCACTTTGTGCACTCTTTTTACAAGCTGGAAAGTTAAGATTCAGAGTTGATGGTGAGGAAACTTTAGTTGTAAACGTGATTGGTTTGTCTGAGGTTTTATGTGGATGCACTGGGGAATGTATTTCATCCTGTGCTGCTGGTGCAGAGTCTCTCGGGGGGGATTTTACCGCTATGACAGCGAACACAGCACCAGATTTCCTCGCCTGATCTCCGGAGATATTCAGGACTTTAACCGTGGTAGCCTCCCCACTATTGCTTCTTAATAACTGCCTCTTGTCGTGCATACCCCCCACAGACTTACGTTTGGCTTCACTACAATAGCTGCCATTTATGTTCGAGGGGTAGCACGTATTATTGTTTTCAATGTCAGAATAAATCACCCTGCCTGCCTCGGCTCGGTGAGGAGATGGAAACGAAAAGCTGCTATTGTGTTCGTCGTCCATCTGCGTTTTTTTCTGCGGGGTTGCATCGTACGCTCCCTCTCTTACGAAGTCCTGATAGCGTTTCTTCACGACCACAAACTTCACCTCGTCGATCTGTTTCACCACTGCGACGCTGTTCACCAACTTCTTGAAAAGGTCCCTATTGTGCTGCTTTTCCGCGGGATCGCTGCAGTTGATCTGAGTCCTGAAGTTGTTCACCAGCTCCGAGTTTTTCACTTTGCCTCCGTGCTCCAGCAAAAAAGACAAAAGAGATTCTTGAGTCAAAGCCATTTTTTCCTCTTGAATTGGTAGAAATGTGGGAATAATAACGGATAGCTCAGATAACTCCCGAGGGATAAACTGGTGTCTGTCCGTGCTCCTCTCCCCTGTCCTGTCCAACCTGCTGCTTCCGGCGCCTCGCCAAATAAACTCCCGTTGTTTTTGTTCGAGCTCTCCTGCTGAAGGCTGGGCCGCTGGGTTAGTATATAGATCAATATTAAAAGTAGGCCTACTTAAAAAAAGTTTGAAGGTAAAAGTTATAGTTATATCAGTATGTTTTACATATTTATCTATTAAGTTAAAAAAAAAAAAAATAGATTAAAATATTATTGAAATAAAGTAGAACTTGATCATACATTTTTACTCCTAGATTACTTCGTGTTTCTTTGTTAGGCTATTTAATCAATATTGAGTCGCATAAAAAGGAGAAATTCTCCTAAGATACTGATTTACTATCAGTAAGCCTAAATGTTGAATCTCTTTTGACATTGAAAAGGAATCAGTATCAAATATAGTATTGGCTAGCCATAAACAAGGAATTGTTTTGCTGCTCTTAATGCACACACACACACACACACACACACACACACACACACACACACACACACACACACACACACACACACACACACACACACACACACACACACACACACACACACACACACACACACACACACATACAAATACAACTAAAAAACAAGGACAACAAAGCTGATCCCCAAACATTAAGCTATTATGTAAAAAAAGTATAAACGTGTGTAGGCCTATATATATAAACAGTAGCCTACGACATTGAACAACAACATACAATGTCTAAGTCAGATTGTTTCTGTGTGTTTTAAATTAATACAGAGTAGTGCAATGACTCTAAGTGCATACTATTAGTGTATACGCTTGCATTAATATTAAATGATTAATGTAACGGGTTACTTAATATAGCCTTCATGAAGTAGGCCTTAATGATCAAATAAGCTTCTTAAATCAATTCTGAGATTGTTTTTGAAAAAAAACAGTTGGTGGAATGATCATTATTGTTACAGTATTTCATTCAGACCTGCATTCATAATCTACTTTTAGAGGCATTTACTGGTTATATTATCAGCTGGTTGGTCATTCTACAGAAAAGGTGGAATCTGGGTGATACAAATCTGCTGAAATATATTCCTTCTAAAAACATCTAAAACCTGTTAAATAGCAATAACTAACTCTTAACTTGATGAATCCACAACAAGTAGAGCTTAAAGTTTTTTTATTTTTTTTATTATTTGTATACTTTATACAAAGCTTATTTGTATAGGAATGTCACTGGTGTTACGTGTTACCAGGAAGAAGAGTAACACCAGTGACGGTAACACCAGTGACAATTTGGAGAAACACTACCATTTTAACAAAATGGCTGCAATTTGTCAGATCAAATATGGCTTCAGTCAATATCAAAATCGTTTAACTCTTCAATACAATACATTTTCCCATTCAAATGTTCACCCCTGCCAGGGGCGGACTGGCCATTGGGAATACCGGGAGTTTCCCCGGTGGGCCGGTGCTGTGTGTGGGCCGGCCTAAATCCTACCGGCCCACATTTGTAAGTGTTCCGGCCCAGCCCAGCCCAGTGGGGTGTGGCCAGGGTTGGATTGTAACGGAATACATGTAACGGTGTTACGTAATCAGAATACAAAAATCAAGTAGGCCTAACTGTATTCAGCTTGCGTTACATTTGAAAAACGAGTAATCTGATTACAGTTACTTTCGTAAACCTGAAGTGAATACATTTTGGATTACTTATTGGAATTATTGGTGGAAAGATTTCCTCACAACATTTAATATTCATTACTAAAGGTACAGCCGAATCATCACAGCGCACAAAACCGGGCAGATGGACCAAAAAGGGGAGCGTTTGAAAAAAATGTGCGGGTCCGCTCAGTGAAACAATAACAACGTAACATGGAGGAACAAAAGTCTGCGTTTAAATCGTGTGCGTGTAGATGTGTGTGTGGTTAAAACACATCAGCCACACCGCTCTTTAGCCTTTCTAATGATTCTGAAGGTAAACACAGTGAAGGCGGTGCGTGAAAGGCACTGCGCGCTCCTCTTCTCAGAGGCTGAGTTAACCCTCCCGCTGCCTCCTGGTGCTGCAGAGATTTCATGAAGTGAAGGAGGTGTTCCTTCTATAAAACAGCTGCAGGCAGCAGATACTGTGAGAGTCACAGACATGAATACATAGATCAAGGCAGACTGGTGCACACACTCTCCTGTTTTGCCAATCCGGTGCTTAAACAAATATAGCTATACACCCCTGGCCGAAATGTCCTTAAAATGAAGTCCGAGTTTGACATTTTAATTAATGTCCTGCCAACACTGGCAGGACAGAAGGCGACACGCCCTTTCTAAGCCATGTCCTCCCCAAAAAGTGTATTATGTTGTTACAACAGGGTTCAGGGGGTGTGGCTGTACGGCTGTACCCGTAGGATAGAAAAGGAGGAAGTGATGTCTGACTCAGAGGTCGCGCGGCTGTGGAGAAGAACGTGTTGCCCACATTCTGTTACTGAGTTTAGGCTAGTTAGCTAGCAGGTTTATTGTTTTGTTGAAAGAAAAAGTTAATCTGTTTACAGTTCTGTTTTATATGGGTGTTGAAGAAAGAAGAAGAAGAAGAAGAATAAAGAAAGAAGAAGAAGACTCCTACCGTCGGTCCTCCCCTCCTCCTCCTACGCATCCTACCTCCGCCTCCTGCCTCCTCCTCCTCCTCCTCCTCCTCCGCCTCCTCCTCCGTCCACTCCTCCTTCCTCCAGACGCGAAGAGAATTAGGGAGGGATGAAACCCTCTTTAATGGTCACACATGCAGAGCACACACAGTGAAATGTGTTCTCTGCTTTTAACCCATCGTACCAGGAGTCTAGTACTAGGAGCAGTGGGCAGCTATTGTACAGCGCCCGCGGAGCAATGGGAGTGAGGGCGGAAGGGGGATGTCTGGTGCCTTGCTCAAGGGCACCACGGCAGGAGGTGAACTGGGACCTCTCCAAGTAGAAGTCCACACTCCAAATAGGTCTGGTCGGGGACTTGAACCGGCGACCCTACGGCTCACAGTCCAAGCCCCTACTGACTGCCATAGATTTAGTCCCTAATTGTGCTCTCAAAATGGACCAGATTGATGCATTTAACTTCAACATTTAAAAAAAATTGTTGTTCTGGAAAACTGTCCGACACCTCAGGAGGGGGAAGCAGGGAACCATCCAAGCTGTGTACAGTAAGGATGGGACGTTGTTGACCTCAACTGATGGAGTGTTAGGGCGTTGGAAGGAACACTTTGAGGAACTCCTGAACCCGACAACTCCGCCCTCTATGTTAGAGGCAGAGCTGGAGTATGACGGGGGATCAACACCAATCTCCCGGGGGGAGGTCACTGAGGTCGTCAAACAACTCCACAGTGGCAAAGCCCCGGGGGTGGATGAGATCCGCCCGGAAATGCTGAAGGCTCTGGGTATTGAGGGACTGTCATGGTTGACACGTCTCATCAACGTTGCGTGGAAGTCGGAAACAGTACCGAAGGAGTGGCAGACCGGGGTGGTGGTTCCTCTTTTTAAAAAGGGGGATCAGAGGGTGTGTGCCAATTACAGAGGCATCACACTACTCAGCCTCCCCGGTAAAGTTTACTCTAAGGTACTCGAAAGGAGGGTCAGGCCGATTGTCGAACCTCAGATTGAGGAGGAACAATGCGGATTCCGTCCTGGTCGTGGAACGACGGATCAGCTTTTTACTCTCGCAAGGATCCTGGAGGGGGCCTGGGAGTACGCTTATCCGGTCTACATGTGTTTTGTAGACTTGGAGAAGGCGTATGACCGAGTTCCCAGGGAGTTACTGTGGGAGGTGCTGCGGGAGTATGGGGTGAGGGGGTCTCTACTCAGGGCCATCCAATCGCTGTACTCCCAAAGCGAGAGCTGTGTCCGGGTCCTCGGCAGTAAGTCGGACCCATTTCCGGTGAGGGTTGGCCTCCGCCAGGGCTGCGCTTTGTCACCAATCCTGTTTGTAATATACATGGATCGGATTTCGAGGCGTAGTCATGGGGGAGGGGGTCTGCAGTTCGGTGGACTAAGGATTGCACCACTGCTTTTTGCAGATGATGTGGTTCTAATGGCTTCATCGGTCTGCGACCTTCAGCACTCACTGGATCGGTTCGCAACCGAGTGTGAAGCGGCTGGGATGAGGATCAGCACCTCCAAATCTGAGGCCATGGTTCTCAGCAGGAAACCGATGGACTGTCCACTTCAAGTAGGGAATGAGTCCTTACCCCAAGTGAAGGAGTTCAAGTATCTCGGGGTCTTGTTCTCGAGTGAGGGAACAATGGAGCGTGAGATGGGCCGGAGAATCGGAGCAGCGGGAGCGGTACTGCAGGTCGCTTTACCGCACCGTTGTGACGAAAAGGGAGCTGAGCCAGAAGGCAAAGCTCTCTGTCTACCGGGCCATTTTCGTTCCTACCCTCACCTATGGTCATGAAGGATGGGTCATGACCGAAAGAACGAGATCGCGGATACAAGCGGCCGAGATGGGTTTTCTCCGCAGGGTGGCTGGTGTCTCCCTTAGGGATAAGGTGAGAAGTTCGGTCATCAGGGAGGGACTCGGAGTTGAGCCGCTCCTCCTTCGCGTCGAAAGGAGCCAGTTGAGGTGGTTCGGGCACCTAGTTAGGATGCCACCTGGGCGCCTCCCTAGGGAGGTGTTCCAGGCACGTCCAGCTGGGAAGAGACCAAGGGGTAGACCTAGGACCAGGTGGAGGGATTATATCTCTTCGCTGGCCTGGGAGCGCCTTGGGATCCCCCAGTCAGAGCTGGTTGATGTCGCCAGGGAAAAGAAAGTTTGGGACTCTCTGCTGGAACTGCTACCCCCGCGACCCGACCACGGATAAGCGGGAGAAGATGGATGGATGGATGGATTTAAAAAAAAATCTTCGCGGGGGAGCTTGCCCCCGGACCCCCCTAGAGGAGGTGAGGTCCACCACCTGCCCACACCCCCTGTTAAATTGTCTCACCCACATTGAGGATGCTTCCTACGCCCATGTTTTATTCCATGTGTCAAGTCATGCAAATTGGGTCAAAATGTTATTGCATCAATGATCTGTTAACATTAAAATCACAAA